CTCAGACTCTTATCTCTCAGGCCTGCTTTTTATCAGATTGCTTCCGGCAACTCAAGAACTGTCACCCTGAGATCCAGGCCTAGGGCTGTAGCCCATTGGCAGAGCACTTGTCTGACATGCCCGCGGCCCTGGGTCTGATCCCTAGAGCTGGAAAGATAAAAGCAAAGATCTAAGTCTATTGGAGAGGAAACTCCCTCCTGCTGCCTCTTAAAAAGTCTTGAGATTATCTCTGATCGAACCTGTTTAGGTAGCAATCATCATGATTAGGGTTTCCTGCTCTGTTTGGACAGCCCTGCCCTACCCTGGGCTGAGTACTCTAGCTCACTAGAGTATGTGGACTGAGAAATATGACAAGTTAAGTGGCCAGAAACAGCAAAATCGATGCAGAAAAGCCTTATGTTTTAATCTAACTTATGTTTTACTATAATTATGGAAAAGCTATAAATATCCACCAGAAGTGAGAAATTAGAGCAAAAAGAAAAGGAATCAATATCACCCCCACTTTTTTTTACAACCTTCTTTTGAGCCAAGGCTAAGGAGTAACCAAGGACTCTGAATTTCTGATCCTTCTATCTCCACCTCTGGTGTGCTGAGATGGTAGGCATGCACCCACCCCCCCACACACCCAAATCCCCACACCCCCAGTTTATGAAGTGCTGGGGTCTGAATCCAGGGCTTTGAGCATGCTAGACAAGCACTCTACCACTGTACTAACTGAGCCTCAGCCTCAGGCCTGTTCTGCACTCTTGTTGTTGTTTTGTTTTGTTTCTCGAGACAGGGATTCTCTGTGTAGTTTTGGTGGTGCCTTTCCTGGATCTCGCTCTGTGGACCAGGCTGGCCTCGAACTCACAGAGATCTGCCTGGCTCTGCCTCCCAAGTGCTGGGATTAAAAGTGTGCCGCCTATGGCCGGGCGGTGGTGGCGCACGCCTTTAATCCCAGCACTCAGGAGGCAGAGGCAGGCGGATCTCTGTGAGTTCGAGGCCAGTCTGGTCTACAGAGTGAGATCCAGGAAAGGCACAAAGCTACACAGAGAAACCCTGTCTCGAAAAACCAAAAAAAAAAAAAAAAAAAAAAAAGTGTGCCGCCTGGCTCTGTTCTGAATTCTTAAAGAAATTTCTTCGCTAGGAGAAAAATCAAAGTCATCCATGTTGGAAGGAAGCATTGTTCTGAAAGACTCTTTTGGTCTACGGTGATTTAATCCATGACGATCCTTGATTTGAAACGTTTTCTTTCACTGTATAATTTATTTCATAAAGATACATAATTTGTACATGACGGTTTCTAGTTACAATTTTATGAGCTGAAGAGTATTTTTAAAGATTGTCAGTGTTCTAGGCTATACAAAAAATATTAAAACAAAAATAGGCTTGGGAAGAATAGCTACGAAAGGCTAGACAGAATACAGAGTCTGCTACACTGAGGGTAGGGAGAGAGCGTGATGGACGAGGGGCCTGGAAGGAGAAGGATCTTTTACAGGATAATCACTAGTAGCCACCTGTGACCAACGCCTCCAATCCAGCTGTGATCTCACATGACAATGGCATTGTGCTGTAGGCAGCTGGACTTTGACATTAGCATAAGACCCAGGTTGTCCTGGAAGATGGCTCCCAGGCTGGTAGACAGGCTGACTGGAGGCAGTAAGTGATAGCAGATACACCTAGCATCACATCTCACCCAGGGGTTGTTTGCTAAAGTCGGACCAGGAAAGGAAACTCTCATTAAGTCAAAATACCCACTTCAAATCCCTTAAGTTACTCATATGCATATATATTACATCCTTCATGAGGTCAATTTTCTCCTGCTCTTAATACTGATCCCGTTAAGCTCCGATTGACAGGTAAGGCAGTACAATGGTGAGCTGTGCTCTTGACAGGGCTGACTGGAGGCAGGCTGCCTGGTTCAAGTCCTGTCTCTGATGCTGACTTATCACCCTGAGCCTCAGTTCCTTTTCTGAAATGTGTCTGTGGCTGGGACAGCGGGTGTTCCCTGAGCACTCATGAGCCCACCCACCTGCACAGCCCAGCCTTCCTTGCAGGTAGTTTGGGCTCAGCGCTGTGAGGAGGGGTGGAAAAGATTAAGAACCTCTTAGGCAGAGAAGGTTAAGGACGGTGTGGGGCATCTCCTCCATTCTTTATTTCCTGTGTATTCTGACCTATCAGAATTGTTGTTTCTGAGAGTGTGGCCAACCTGCATCAGGCTACATGAGTGGGGAAGAAGCGCAGTGATGACTGGATTTCCCCGGACTCATTCCTTTACTGTCAACTTCCCAGTGTTAGCATCTACATCCAAGAGCTCTGGGGAGGTTGAAAGGGATCATATTCAAGGAAGCATTTAGCGTGCTGGAGAGAATGCTCAGAGGTTAGGAGCACTGGCTGCTCTTCCAGAGGTCCTGAGTTCAATTCCCAGCAACCACATGGTGGCCACAACCATCTGTAATGAGATCTACTGCCCTCTTCTGGCCTGCAGGGATACATGCAGGCAGAACACTGTATGTAATAAATGAATCTTTTTAAAAAAGAAAAAAGGAAAAGAAAAGAAAGAGAGAGAGAGAGAGAGAGAGAGAGAGAGAGAGAGAGAGAGAGAGCATTCAGCAGAGTAACTGCTCAATTGGACCAGTTATTATCACCCAGATGCAAGGTGACCTCTGATGTAGGGTGACTTCTACCCAACAGAGAATTCAGAATTCAAACCTGACTGTACTCTGATTACTCAGGAAGCTAGATTGGTACCTGCCTCTCATTCCAGTATTCAGGAAGCTGAGACAGGAGGACTGAAAGTTTGAGGCCAGCCTAGGCTACATGGTAAGATTCTGTATCAAAAATAGAAACCACAACAAACAAACTGTACACAGAGGAAGCTTTCAAAAACAAAAATGAAAATAAAATAATGCTCAGGCCAGCCTGAAAGTTTGGATTTAACAGGTCTTGAGGGGAACAAAGTTCTACAGATAGTTTTACAATTTTTATTCTTATTGTTTAGTTTTTGGGACAAAGTGTAGTCCTAGCTGACCTGGAACTCACTCTGTAGACCAGGTTGGCCTCAAATCCACAGAAATCTGCCTGCCTCTGCCTCCTAAGTGCTGGGATTAAAGGTGCGTACCACCACGCCTGGCTTGCATTAGATGTTATATTTTGGTTGTGAGCTTAGCCTTTAATGGCTGAACCATTTCTCTAGCCCTGGCTTGCAGACAATTTTTAAATGTGCCAGGGTAGAACCACAGGATTAGAGCAGAGATTCTCAACTGGGGTAATCTGCTTAACCCTCAGCTTTGAGACATTCATCTGTCTGCAGATACTCTGGAATATCAAAACTGTAGGGGTGAGGATGCCACCGGCATCTAGCAGGGAAAGGGCGCCAATACTGCCAACATTACAGCGCACAGCACAGCTCCCCACACAGCCAGAGTCCAAAAGTGTGGGCTAGAGGTTGCTTCCCTGAAGGACTCTGGTTCCTGCTTGCTTGGCTGGCTCTTCCAGCTCCAGGGTAACCTGGAAGAACACGTCCCCTAAATGCTCAAATCCAAGGCTGGACTCAACCCAGCTGGGCTGGCTCCAGGCCCAGGAAGGGTCTCCTGCCTCACAACTTCCCTTTAGTGTTTTGTTAACCCCCGAGTTAAAATACTACACCAACTGCAGCTGCTTGTAAACATGCCTCTCTGTTGTAGAGCTTCAGCCCTAATTTGTTCATTTCTGGTTTCCTCAGCACCAATCTCTCGGTGTGATGAGGGGGTGTTCCCCAGATTTTATTACATCGTGTGAATTAGATTTCATTTTTAGCATGCTCCTGGGCATCTCCTGGAAAGATAATGGAAGCACAGAATACAAATGCTAGCAGAAGCTAGAACACTCTGTCTCCAGCTGCAATGATGGCTGCTACTTCTCAGTGTGTTTCTATGAGCTACGAGGGGACCTGGAGGCCCCTTGAAGAATCCCAGGCGGTAAGTGACTAGGGATTTACAAGGATTCTCATGGAGAATCTCATGGAGAGAAGAAGGTCTTGCATTTTGTTTTTTAGGTTTATTGTATGTGTATGTTTTGCTGCATGTAAGTCTATGTGCCACATGTGAGCCCCATGCCTGCAGATGTCAGAACTGGATCCCCTGGAACTGGAGTTACAGATGTTGGTGCACTGCCATGTGGGTGCTGGGAACAGAACCTGGGTCTTCTGCAAGAACAAGTGCTCTTAACCACTGAGCCGTCTCTCAGCACTCACCTCCATCTCTTTGAGATGAGTCTCACCATGTAGCTCTGGATGGCCTGGGATTCAATGTGTAGATTAGGCTGGCCTCAGATTCACACAGATTGAGCTTGAGTTTGAGGCCTGTGGGAGGGACTGCAGCTCTGCTGGGAAATTGCTTGTTATCTGGCATGTACAAGGGCCTTGAGCTCATGCCTCACTGGCAAAGAGACAGACAGAAGCAGACACAGAGAAAGAGATGGGAAAGAAAAATTGTTCCAGCTAAGAACTTCTTTTCTGTGCTATTCTCAAGTGTTTCTGGGATGGAACCAGTGCGCAGACGGAGCGAACTTAGTCTGTAGGACAAGTAACAGGAGACAAGAGCCCCAAGCATAACTGACCTGGAGTCCTAGATGCAGTGCATGAGTGAATTCCTTTACACCAAAGGAAGCCATCATAACCATAACCTTGAAATTAGGACTGGGTGGGCCAGATGGTTCAGTGGCTAGAGCTGTGTAAGCGTGAGGACCAGAGTTGGGCTCCCCAGAATCCATACAAAGGCCGGGAGAGAATGGTGGCTGCCTGGACTTCCGGCGCTCAGAAGGCAGACACGGGATCCCAGAGCAAGCTGGCTGCCCAGGCCGACCACATCAGCAAGCTTCAGTGAACAAGGGGAACAGTGATCAGAGAGGACTGCCAACGTCAGCCTCAGCCTTTACGCGTGGGCCCACACACCTGCAAGCATGCATACACACGTGCATGCACACCAAACACACATACCCATAAGAGAAAAACACACTAGGAGTCAACTGTTTACACTTACTGGTGCTTGAGCCATTCCTCTACAAATGGAATGGAGAAGAATTCCGTGCACGGCTCCCCTGCCCGCTTTGGATTCTGGCTGGTCACGCGACCATGTTCGATTGGCAAGGAAAAGGAGAGTTAAGTCAGTTGTTACTCTTCTATTGCAGATGGACACAATCAAATCCTGGGGGCCATTGAATGCTCATGACAGGAACAACTTACTTGTACAGCCACTCAGTCAGGAAGTCGCAGGCAATGAACTTGGTTCTCTTCCTCTAAAGAGAGAAGATAAAATTCAGTTATGTTCTTCCTCTACCCACGTGTCTGTGCAGCACAAAGAGAGGGGTTAATTGGTTAGACCCGTTTTAACATGTATGGGTCCATTATGGGGTTTATAAGTGTGTCAACAAGCAGTATGTGGACAATATAAAGCAGCCTGAGGGATTTCTCTAGTCAACTTTGGATAAAGCATTTTCTGACAGTAGGGCACTAACTGTCTAACGAAAGGCAGTGAGTGAACCAGGTAGGCGCTTATTACATTTCCTTGCTCAGTACCTCAGGAGGCTGATTTTGAAAAAAAAAAAAAAAAGATTTGTTTGATATGTATGAGTATTTTGCTGTATGTATGTATGTATGTATGTATGTATGTATGTATGTATGTATGTGCACCACATTCCTGTACCATCGGAGGTCAGAAGAAGACGTCAGATCGCTGGAACTCAGGTTATGGATGTTTGTGTGCCAGGCTGGCACAGGGTCCTGAAGAGCAACAAGTGCTCGTAACCACTGAACCATCTCTCCATCCTGAAGAGGCTGATTTTATGGTTCACAACAGCTAGGAACTGGTGGGAAGGATCTTATTATCTAAATCACAACTTGCTTTGAGTCACATGTGACTTATAGAAAGGACAAGTAGGGTACATTTTGAGAGATATAACCTTGGATGATTTCTGTCATGCGAACATCATGGACTAGGGCAGTACCAACAGCACTAGGTGGTGTGTCCTCATTTTGTGTGGTTGGCTATTGGGCCATTGGCTGAAGCACAGGGCACATGGTACATTGGCTCTTGGCTGAGGCACATGGCATATGGCACACTGGCTACTGACTGAAACACTGGGCACATTTCACATTGCGTTTGTTGAGTCCCTCAGTCTACTCAAGCCCACAGCTGGACTTCACACCTGGGTGCTACTTTGAAGGTGGAGGGAAAAACATAAAAGTAAAAATTTAAAGCACTGGAAGGTGGAAGCCAAGCACTTGGGTCCACTGTTCCTGCTAGCTGTCCTTAGTACCCATACTGCACCCCATCTCTTAGCAGAAACCTTACTGCTTCCATACAGCTATCAATTAGGCCCAAAACTGTTTCCTGGGCTTCTGAGAAGAATGGGACAACTATGGGTCACAGTTCTGCCTTATGAGACAGAAGTGGACACAGCCAAGAGGTGTCTATGAAGACTCTGCTTTCCTGGTTTCTCCCCTGCTGTCCTCTGAAGTTCCCTTCTACTTCCGGTCTGGAATACAGCTGTTGGCCTAAACATGGTATAGTCCCGTCAAGCCCTGAGACCAAAACCCACGTGTTCAGCCTGGCACGGGGATACAGCCTCAGGAAGTAGGGCCAGAAGATCAGGAGTCAGATGCCGCCCTCAGCTCCACAGTGAGTCTGAGGCCAGCCTGGGCAATAGGAAGCCTTGCCTCAGACAAATGAACCAAACAAAAATCCACACGCTACAGATGACGGAGCAGGGGTCAGGAGCGGCTGGGCCTTTGCTAACTGCCTTAAGCCACTGTGCCCGCTTGGGCCTACACTATCCCTCTCTTGATGTGTGAGGCAACATAAACTTCACTGGGTTTACTGCCACTCTTCTTACCATTACAAGCAGCCAAATATAGCCCTAGCTGGGAACTCACAAGGGGAAAACAATCTAGGGTATTGGGTCACGCTGTGCTGAGAAGGGCACAGCGCATCCTCTCTCCCATTTCTCCCTTCTTGTGGCTGCAACAGAACCATCAGCTCCTGTCGGAGAACTCTTACAGAACTGGGAAATGGAGGGTTCCTTTCTGGTTTGTTGTGTAGCAGTTTCCTCTGAACTGAGATGCTCTGTCCTCAGCTATGCTCCTTGGGACTCGGGGAGCAGGGCTAGTGAGATGGTTCAGTGGGCAAGGGTGCTTGTGGCAAAGGCTAATTATCTGAGTTCGACACTCGGAACTCACATGGTGGAAGGGGAGAACCGACGCCCACAGTTCCTGCACAGGACTCGGGACGCCCCGGGGAGCCCACGTGTTCACAGGGTCCCTCCCCTGGCAGACAAGCAGGTGCTGGGGAAAGGGGACTCCTGTAGCAGAGGTGCCCACAAGTGGTGCAGGAGGTTCCAGGGATGAGATGTGTGAGTTGTGACCCATCCCACTGGCCTGTGAGCAGCCTCAGTGAGCTCACTGATTCAACAAGACAGACCCAGGCGGAAGGACTTAGTTGGTTGGTCACTGGTGCCCAGCTGGAGTAAATGATCATTTGCTCATGTCACCCCAGGAAAAATCAGAGAACCCCTTTTGACAGAGACTAAGACCCAAGTCAGTCTAGAGGTGCTGAAGGCCATGTTGGTAGCCCTCCGAAGAATGCAAAGTATTCCGGAAATTTTCTCTGTCCCTCTAGATCTCCTCTCCCCTCTGTTGCATGAATCCTAATTGGTCTTAAAATGAAAATCCAGAGCCAGATATCGGGGTAAATGCTGAAAGATCAGAGAAACAGCCACCACCTCTTACCTCACCTACTCCTCAGCCTGAAAGAGCGTGAGTTCCTGTCTCCTCCCGCCTTATATTCCTTTCTCTGCCCAGCCGTATCATTTCCTGTCTCAACCTTCCTAGTGCTGGGATTAAAGGTGTATGATCCCAAGCGCTGGAATTAAAGGTGTGTGGTCCCAAGTGCTGGAATTAAAGGTGTGTACCACCACTACCTGGCTCTGTTTCTCTTTTAGACAGGATTAATTTCATGTAGCCCAGTGTGGCCTTGAACTCACAGAAATCCAGACAGATCTCTGCCTCTACCTCCTGAGTGCTATGATTAAAGGTGTGTGCCACCACTGCCTGAGCTCTGTGGCTGGCTCTGCCCTCTGATCTTCACTCGAACTTTATTTGTTAAGAGCACAATCAAAATATCACCACACCCTTCCCTTCTCTCCGCTTCTCTCCCCTCCCCTCATCTATGATGCAGGGAGCTAGCTCAAGTCAACCAGCATCCCTTACCAACCACCCAGGGTAGCAGAGGGTTCAGCAGGAAATGTGGAGGGAGAGGAGGGAAGGGGTTGGATTGCACCTTCCCCAAGATTCTTCTGCTAGTATCCTACCCCCCCCCTCAGATTATGACCTTATTTGAAAATAGGACTGGTGTAGATGGAGTCAGTTAATCCAAAACAGTCCTATCCAGAGAAGACAACAGGGATCCATTAGCAAGACATGGTCAGGTAGACTGCAGTGACAATCTCCTGGTCACACTGTACTGGACCCTGAACCTGCTACAGAGACTCAAGTTTCCGAGACGTGCCAGTCCAGGAGGCAGCCCCCTCCCCTTCTCTCTCTCCCTTCCATTGGTGGTGTGCCCAGGATGGAACTCAGAGCTCACAGTATTATGCTAGGCACACTGAGTTACACACCCTGTTGGAAGCTAACCTTTTTTTTTTTTTTTTTTTGTCTCCAAGTTGTCTGTGCTAGGTTGATTATTGTTTACAAAAGAGAAAGTTACAACTACTAATTTTCAGTTCTCCAATCCCATGCAAATCCTAAGGTGCCCCAGGAAGCCTTTTCCACTTAGGAAAGGCTGTCCTGCAGTTTGATGAACCCCATCTCAGCATCTCAGAAAGTAACAAGCCACAAAGTATGTCTCCCTCCAGATTCTAAACTCTGGGGAGCAGGCTGCACACCCCTCTTTCTACCTGGGGCTTCATCAAGTGCCTTGTGTGGAGCAGGTGAATGAAGAAATGCAAGAACAGTTCCAGGGGGTCCAAGCAAGAGAGACTCGGGTACAAGGATGTGGGCATTTCCAACAAAGATTTATTAGTATAATTCTGGATACATTTCATTCACGTCCCACAACTGCTTACTCTCTCTCTTCTCCTTCTGACACAGAGTATCCCTAGGTTGGCCTCAAACTAGCTATGTAACAGGGGCTAAATACCTTTTCTCCGCCTCCCTAGTGCTGAGATTACAGGCAGAAGCTGCCGTGCCTGGTCTGTGTGGAGCTGGGGGCCAAACCCAGGGCCTCAGGCTTACGAGGCAAGCACTCTACCAACGGAGCTGCGCCCCAGCTCACCAATGTTTTCTTAGGAAACATTTCCATCTGATTTCTTTTTTCTTCTTCCCTTGTAAGCATCCAATTTGGTTTTATAATCCACCAGAAAGCTGATGGCATTGCTGTGAAACCGGCGGTCACTGAAAAGCAGAGTGCTGCTTGGGGTTTGTAAAGGGAGCTTTATCGTGGCTGTTAGTGAAGAAAAGACGGAGGTGCCCGAATCGCTGGAGATTATTCGCTGTCTTTTACTTCGAAGCCAACAGCTTTTATAAAGAAATTGGAAGACAGCCGACCAAGGGGATAAAATGAAAAGTGCTATCTTAGAAAGGGCTTGTTTGTTTGACATACAATATTTTTTCTCATTTTTTTTAGTTCTTTGAGAATTTTATAAGCATATTTTGATCACTGTCACTCAGCGTCCATCCCTCCCAGATCCACACCTCCCTCCTTTCCAAGTTTACAACCTCTCTCTCTCTCTCTCTCTCTCTCTCTCTCTCTCTCTCTCTCTCTCTCTCTCTCCTCTTGTCTTTCTCTCTCATGGTGTTTTTTTGTTTTGTTTTGTTTTGTTGTTTTTGCTTTTTAAAGGCTGTGTATGAAAGGCAGGGCTCCCTTCAAAAGCTACCTTAAAAGAAGAAAACACTTGTTACAACAATGCAAATATGTAACCAAGCATGAATTGCAGCCTAATGGCTTAAACAATGGAGCAACTGTAAGATGCTGGTCTCCGTCTTCCCACACACCATGCTTGTCCACTTGGCATTTATCATACCCGTTAGTGGTAAAGATTCTATGCAGAGAATGCAGCCTTGCTCACCCTATTAAATAGACTTAGACATAGCCATATGATGCTCATGCACAGATTTATTTGCTTTTGGTGCAAAGAAATAAAATGCGAGAGATGATATTTTCCTCCAGTTCTGGGCAGGCGTGGACGTGCCCTGCATACCCAGACATGCAGAACAGTGGGGTATTGTTCAGCTGTTGTTTAGT